CTGTAGAATGGGGATGGTGATTGTTCCTACTGTGTGGAGTTGATAGGAGATCCAATCAGCACATAGCATAGTGGTACACAAGGAGTTTTCAAGTGAGCAGTGGCTAAAAATGTCGTGAAGAAACAGTTGTGACAAAAAGAGTCTGTGGGTTGGTCTTGATGGGAGCAGAGAGGACTGAGGGGAAGGAGACCCAGAGTGGAGTGGTGGGGGGTAGGACAGCTAAGGAAAGGAAACGTGGCAGGTGGGGGCTGAGGCCTGGGGCAGGTGGTGGAACGGTCCTGGTTTTTCTGCAGTAGGTTTTCTGCAGCAGGCTTCAGTCCTCGGACTCCCAGTGCCCCAGGGCTGGGTCCCTGAGGGTCCTGCCCTCAGCCCTGGCAAGCAGACTTCTGGGGCAGCAAGTGTGCTGGGCCTGGCTCAGACCTCAAAACTTCAGGATCAGACTGAGCTTGCTTCCCCTTCCAGGCCTGTCCCTCAGGGCCAGGCTGAGCAGAGCCTCCTCCCGGATTTCCAAAGCTGACAACTGCGCCCACTTAGTTCTGACCTCGGAGGGCATGAGAACGGAGGTCCCTGGAGGCGGGTTCTTACCACGCCCCCAAGACAGCCTCGCTCTGAGTTCCTCTCCCGCTGCTGGGCCCAGGCTCTCCCAAGCCTTTCTGATCCCCTCTCCTGGAGGGAGAGAGGAGCAGGTGGAGAGGGCAAGGCATCCTTGGAACCCCACACCTCCCTCTCTTCCCACTGCCCTGACCCTGTTTAGGCCACTGTCTCAGTGTGCTCTCAGTAAGGCCTCCAGCCTTATCCCTCTCCCCCTTTCACTATGTGATTGAGCCATACTCCATTACTGTAGTTCTCTGAGCGCTCTACTTGTGCCCATGCCGTTCCCTCTGCCTGGAGTGCCCTCACATGCCTAACCTACAAGTCTTTCTATGCTCTATGTCAACTTCTCCCAGAAGCCCCCTTGCTGTCTCCCCTGGGTTAGGTGAGCCTTGGTGCCCTCAGTGGCTCACTTATTGCCCCTGGGTGCATTGTTTTATTTTGGGTTTTTGGGTGGCTATTTTTAAAAATTTTATTTTTAATTGTGGTAAAAAAAAAAAACACATAAAATTTACCATCTGAACCGCTAAAAAATGTACCATTTAGTAGTGGTGTTAAGTACATTGACATTGTTGAGCAACAGAGCTCCAGAACTTTTTCATCTTGCAAAACTGAAACTCTCTACCGATTAAACCTCCCCCCACCCCATTTCCCTTCCTCCCACCCCGGGTGCGGGTGCGTCACTTACTGCATGAGACTGAGGGCCCCTAGAGGGCACGCAGCGGGGTCTTCTTTACATCCCCAGCACCTAGCAGGGCACCAGCCCCATATATGAACGTATTAATTCAGCACATTTTTACTGAGCACCCCCTGCTGCTGTGGCACTGTCTTAGTGGTCCCTGGAGACCAACCAGCAGGGAATGACAAGACTCCCTGTCCTTGGGGATTTTACACTTTAGCTGTGGGGAGACAGAACACAGAACCTGCTAGATGGCGACAAAGCTATGTGGAAAGCAGGGAGGGAGGGTTGAGCATGCTGAGGGTGCAGTTTTGATGTTGAGTAGAAGAGAGGAGATTGTCTCACTAAGCAGCGGGCATTTGATGCGCACCCTGAAGGAAAGGATGGAGCGAAAGAGCCTTCTGGACAGAGGGAACAGAGAGTGCAAAGGCCCCGAGGCAGGACCATGCCTGGCAGGAACATTTCCTGCTTGAGGGCAGCAAGGAGGTCAGTGTGGCTGGAGTGAGGTGAGAGAGAAGGGGTGCATTCTGAGAGAGAGCAGATGAGGTGTGGGGTGGGCAGATCTTAGAGGCCCCTCAAGGGCTGTGTGAGATGTCTCAGGAGGTGCAGGCAGGGGGGTGACCCGGCCTGACCTGGGTTGTAAAGGATCCCTGGGGCTGTGGTGCCGAGAATGGACTGTGGGGGTGAGCGGTGAATATGGACATCCCCCTTTGGGATGGGACTTGTTGCCCAGCTGTGGGAGTCTGGGCAGCTGACAGCCTCCAGCTGTTAGCCCTTTCAGGTCCACTCCAGCTGTCCAGGTGGCCAAGCTCGGGGGGTGGCCCCAGGCAGTGACTGAGCCAAGCAGCGGTCAAGGGCCCAGCCAACTCCACGTGACCGCCTCTAACCGACAATCTTTGCCTGATGGACACAGCACAACAGGTCTTGTCGCTCAGTCCCGCTTCCTCCCCTTTCCGTTCTGCTTCCCGGAGCTAGGGCAGGAAGCAGGGACGTTGTTGTAGTAATCCAGGTGCGAGATGATGTGGTTGTCTCAGCTCAAGCTGCTGTAACAGAATGCCACACACCGGGGGCCCTAAACAATGGAAATTTATTTCTCACGGTTCTGGAGGCTGAAAGTCCAAAAAGGTTCTTGGTGAAGACCCTCTTCCCGGTTTACACAGGGCTGTCTTCTCATTGTGTCCTCACATGGTGAAGGGAGAAAGGTCCTCCCTCTTCTGTGTCTTCTTCGAAGGGCACAAATCCCATTCTCGAGGGCTTCACCTCCCAAGGGCTCCACTTCCTAATACCATTACAGTAGAAGTTAGGGTTTCAAGGTATGAATTTTGGGGGGACACAAACATTCAATCCATAATAGGAAGCTGAGACCAGGGTGATGACACAAGATAATCTCCTGTTTAGCTTGGGCTGCGTGGTGGCTGTTATTTCGTGCAGTAGGTGTGGTTGTGAAGGCTGTGTGTGCGTGAAATCTAAATCTATCATGTGCGTGAGGGAAGGAGGCTTGCAGTGAATGCTCCTGTGCTGGGCAAGGAGGAGATAGAAGCGTGTACCCTGAGAAGAGAAGGCCAGGGGACATGAGAGCCACCTTGTGGTGACAGCGTTGTGTGCTGGGGACTCTGGATGGTGAACAGTAGCTCCAGGTGTCCTGGATCAGGAGAGTGAGGTGCACTGCTCAGAACAGCTCTCAGGCCGAAGGTGGCACATCTCAGGACAGGGCTGGGACATCCTGTCAACCACGGTCCTCACCCCCAGCCTGGAGAAGGGGCCTGGGGCTGGAGGCTCAGTCTGTGCTGAGCTAGCCAGTGATGTCCTCTGGTTGCTCTGGCCTCCAAGCCATCCTTGGCCAGGCAGCTGAAACTGCCCTGGAAGATGCTGGAATGTGTGGCAGCAAGTAGGAGACACCTTCCCTGAGACCTTTGCAATCATCCAGGCCAGGCTGGGACTGGCCTTGTTGTGGCCTGGGCAGCAGGCAAGCTCCTGCCTGGATATTTACTGAACACATTAGCACCATACTGCTGGGTTACCTTCAGTGTCTCATCTCTACAGCAACCCCAGGAGTAGTACTGCTCTGAGTGCTGGGATGAATATGGTCCCTTTGTCCCTCGGGTCAACTCTCCACCCTGCTCTGTGCCCCAGGAGCTGAGCGATAACTGGCTGCCTCACTTGGCTCCCTTGCTCTCTGGATCCTGGTTGGGTTGTGTCAGTGGGAGCCACTGGCAGGAGAGCAGGAGATGAGAAAGTGAAGTTGGGGTATTTATTTGGTCGCTGGGGTGGAATGCATCCTTGCAGCTCCAGTGTGGCAACCCAGTCCGTGGCTACCCTGGTACAAGCCCCAGGGCACTGCAGTAGTGTTTGTGGTTTCCTTGATCATGCCCATACTTTTTAAAACAAATTGGCTCAGTTGGTTAAGTGTCTGACTCTTGCTTTCAACTCAGGTCATGATATCATGGTCGTGAGATCAAGCCTGCATTGAACTCCATGCTGAACGTGGAGCCTGCTTGGGTTTCTCTCTCTCTGCCCCTCCCCAACTTGCGCACGTGTTCATGTGCATACGCACCGGCTCTCTCTCTCTCTCTCTCTCTCTCTCTCTCTCTCTCTCTCTCAAAATAAACAAACATGAAAAAATATCCCTCAAGGAAACTCTTTAAAGTTACTGGGTTTGAATGTGCCATCTGTTTTTTGCTGGGACCCTGACTGGTGCAATTCACATTGTAATGATGGCAAGACTGCCGTTCTGAAAGCTTGCCCAAGGTGCAGCGTGGTGACTGTGGTCATGAAGTGGTTAAGCTATGATTCAGACTGTGGGGGGTGGGTGTCAGCCCAACCCTGGGCCCTTTAAGCTTGGTTGGCTTACCCACCCCACTAATAGCCACACAAAAGAGCAAAGGTGAACCACAGCCTGTTCTGTGGACATACTGATCTGCCCTCTCCTTGCCTGCATTGGCTCTTGGTTCACTGCTCCTAGATTTCTGGCCCCTGGCCTTGGCTTTGATGGTCACTAAATGTGTCTCTCATTAGTGGAGCCTTGCACCCCCTTTTGCTTTCCATTCCAGTCTGGCTTGAATGTTGGTGTCCCCTAAATTGCAGGTCGCCACACAGTACTGGGGGTGGGGTGGGGGGGGCTGTGAACCACCCCAACTGTTGGTTACTGTAGGAGACGAGTATGTTACTGTCTCCCCTGACTCGGAGCTGTTTGAGTTCAGCTCCTGTTCTCCTATGCAGTCTCCACCTCCTGCCAGGGCCCCGGTGAGCCAACGATGCTCAGGGCAGATGGAAGGAGCTGCTGAATAATGCTTGAGTGAGGCTGGGACTCCCACCTTTAGAGGAGACAACCATCCTGTTGTGGCATAAGGAGTGAGAGTATGAATAACAGAGATTTGTGTACACAGGGTGGGGACGTGGATTGTTGATGGTGGTGATTGGGTTATAGAGGAGGAGGGAGTGTGGTTTATCTATGGGGAGAACAATGATTGTGTGTGTGCTCAGAGCAGTGTTCTCACTAGAAACGCGGGAAGCGCTGTCGCAGAGGGAGCACAGCGTCCTCTTGTGACCACACTTACAATCACAACATATATACCAGTAGGTTCCACCCACATCCCCACCCAGATCAATCCCAGCCCCAGTCTGCCTTCACCCCCAGACGTACAGCCCTCCTGAGGGCTACCTTCCCTGCCCTCAGGGTCTTGTGGGTGGGAGTACAGAACAGAGGACGGAGCCAACCTGTATAAAACACAGCCTTTATTGATTTCAAGGAACATCTACCTTGAGTCTCTGGCAGCAGAGTCTGAGAGGCTGGCACTAGGTTGAGCACGTTTGTGGCAAGAAGACGGCAGAAAAGCTGTCTGAGCCTGGGAGGAGCAGAACTGGGCGAAAGGGGGCTTCCCCTGAGGACAGTGGGGACCAGGAGGACACCCGAGTATCTCGAGCAGCAGGTGGCGTCACAGAGCCATCTCCTCCTCCGCTTCACAAGCTCACCCTCAGGCCTTTGGACCTCCCACTGCTTAGAGACTACTTCCTTTCCAGCCCAGAACCTGGGTGCTTCTCCCAAGGGAATGAAATTCCCTTTGATCCGGTGCGTCCAAACCAGGGCAAACATCTCACCTGCAAACACCTGCCGCTTTCTCGTCTAGGAAGCCCTTCTCACCTCTCTCAAACATTTTGTACTCAGGGTAGTCTCTCCGGATCACTCCCTCCTGGGTTAGGCGGAAGCTCTGCTGGGAGCCTCCTGGGGGTCCCCTCGCACTCAGTCGTTGATTTGTTTGTTTCAACGTCTGTCTCCCCCAAGGGCTGGCGCTAGTTCTGGGGTGTGACTTATATTATACCTGGGTAGACAGCACAGTGCCCAGTGCTCAAAAAATCTGCCAAAAATGAAACGGGATAGATTAGCGAATTCAAAGTGGGGGCACCCAGCACCTGTAGGACCCCTCCCCCCGTGCAGTACTGCCCATCTGTCCCCACTGGCAGCTCCAGCGTCGCTCCCCAGCCTGTGGTCAGATGGGGGTCATGCTGGGTGCAGACGCGTGTCTCTTGTCGTCGCCAGAGTCGGAGCCCAGCTCCCCAGCCTCCACCAGCTTGTGGTGGCAGCGGCAGGTGGAGGCCCGGCTGGTGGAGGATGGGAGGCTGTGGCCCTTCGGGGGCTTGTTCCTGGCTATGCCTCGCAGGACCCTGTGGAAGATGAGGTAGCAGATCTCGCAGATGGTGAGCACGATGCAGACGGCAGAGGCACCCACCATGAAGTAGGTGAAGACCTTCTTCTCGGTGGGCCGCGCGATGTAGCAGTCCACGACGTTGGGGCAGGGCGCCACGTTGGCACACTGCACCAGGCGTGGCATGCCAAAGCCATGCCAGAGCGTGTGCAGCACGTAGAGGAAGAGGAATTCGATGAGGAGCTTGAAGATGAGGCTGAACAAGTAGGTCCACCACAGGCCGCCGTGCTTCTTGCCCGCGTTGGCGTACAGCTTGGCGCACTGGTCCCCGTGCTTCTGGCGGTGCCGGCGCTCGCGCTCCTCCCGGTAGGCCACGTGCAAGATGACCAGCAGCGAGGGGCACGTGACGAAGATGAGCTGCAGGGCCCAGAGGCGGATGTTGGAAATGGGGAAGAAGTTGTCGTAGCAGACGTTGGTGCAGCCGGGCTGCTTGGTGTTGCAGTCGAAGTCCTTCTGCTCGTCCCCCCACACGCGCTCCGCGGCCACGACGTACACCAGCACGCGGAAGACGAACACCACCGACAGCCAGATGCGCCCAAATGCCGTGGAGTACTTGTTCACGCCGCTCAGGAGGGCCTGCAGCGTCTTCCAGTCCATGGTGCTTGGCGGGCGTGCCGGGGGCCGTGCCCACCTGACGGCATGCAAGGGAAAAGTCCATGTTTAATGTATGGGTGACATTTAAAATTTTTTTATTATTTTAATTTTTTATTTTGTTACATATATATGTTATTTTGTTATATATATGTGTATATGTATACACACACACACATATATATGTGTATATATATACATATATATACACATATATATGTATATATTTATGTATTTTTTCATTTTTATTTTTGAGAGACTGCAAGCAGGGGAGGGATAGAGAGAGGGGGACAGAGGATCCGAAGCGGGCTCTGTCTTGACAGGCTGACAGCAGTGAGCCTGATGGGGGGGTGTGAACCCAGGAATCGCGAGATCACCACCTGAGCTGAAGTCGGATGCTCAACCGACTGAGCCACCCAGGTGCTCCGCATAGGTAACATTTGATGTGAGCATTTACCGTGTATCAGGCACTGTTCTGGGGTCTTTATGTGGATAGATGCGTTTGATCAGCCAATGACCCTTTGAGATCAGGACTATTATTCCTCCCAGGCTACGGGCAGGATACAGGCCTAGAGAGAGGCTAAGTAACCTGCCAAAAGTCACAGAGCTTGTATGCATGAAGGAAGGGAATGTGCATTTGCTGATAATAACAATGACCATTTATTGAGCATTTACTATGGGTCAGCCCAGGAGCTAAAAGCTGTGCAACACTATCTCCTTTAGTCCTTATAATGACCCCATGAGGTAGATACTATTATGCTTCTCATTTACAGGTGAAGATAACCGTTGCAAAGCACTTAACACATAGTAAGTGCTCAATAAATGCTGGCCACTCATTGTGAAATCTAGAGAGGCCAAATCACTCATTTAGAACTGCAGTTGGATTCCAGGCCAGGCTGTCAGTGCGGGGGTGTGGGGGGGCAGGCTGTGCTCTCCACCACCTCCTACCCCTCCTCTGCTGTATGCCTGTCCCAGACCAGGTTCTTGCAACTTACTTCACTGATTCCTTGCTACCGTCTTGTGAGGGTGGGGTCATGAGCCTGTAGGGGCCAAGGGCAGGCCGCCCCAAGATAGGCCACTTTGGCATGCAGATGATTTTGAGTTAAAAGCAATCAAAGCTCATCAGATTCAGGAAAAGCTCTTTATCTCTCCTTCAACTGCCTAGAAGTATTCAGATAGAGGACCTGCTCCAGGAAGAGAGCCATCACCGGAGATAACTACATTGTTATACGAACTAAGGAGGGTAGACAGAGAGGAGCCTAGCAAGGCCTGTTTGATCAAAGTCCTCTACATCCCATTGTTTCTGAGTGGCCCAGCAAACCTTTGTTTACCAAATATTTACTCATTTTCATCCTTGGTGAATTGTATTTCTTCCCTTTGAAGTCCCAGACCCCTATTCCCTTCTCTTTACTTCAGGAGGGCATATATACCTCCTTTTACCTGTCTTTGGAATTTCCACATCCATGTGGATTCCCCATTCACATGAAATTAAATTAGATTTTCTCTTGTTTATCTGTCTCTAGTTTCATTCTTAGTCCAGCTAGCAGGACCGTAGTCCAGGTAGAAGGGCAGAGGATCTTCTTGCTCCCTGGCAAGCCCATTCTGCAGAGGGGAAACGGAGGTTCAGAGAGGAGAAATAACCTCCTCAAGGTCTCCCAGACAGTAGGTGGTGATGTTGGGAGAACAACTCAGGTTGGGGGTGAGTGGGGGATGGTAGGTGGTTTGGCTCCTGGCACACCAGATCCAGGGAAAATCTAGAGACAATCCCTCTCCCTGTGCCAGAGCCTGGGGGAGCCCCAACCACCCCAGCCATGCTGGATGCCCGGGCTCCGTGGTGGGGAGACATACTTTGTTCAGGCCCCAGAACCACCCATCTTCCTCCCAGTCCTGGGATGACTCAGAGGGTGTGGATGGGTGGGTCTGCCTGAGTACATCTAGTGTCTGCCTGCTGCCACGGGTGTGGGAACATGTGTCTCCATGTGCATGTGTGGGCCTGTGTGCACATGTGGGCGCTCCTGGAGCACACGATGCCCCTCTGAGCATGCATGATGCCTGTGGGTCCAAATCTTGCAGGGCCCCTCTCTCACCCCTCTACTGCTACCACCTTGCTCCAAACCACCATCACTCTTGCTGGTATTATTGCCAGGGCCTCCTCACTGGTCTTTCGGCATCTGTTCCTGGGCCCCTAGAATCTACTAACTTGGACCGTGTCACTCCCTTGTTTAAAACTTTCTACTAGCTTCACATTACGCTTAGGATGAAACCCCAGATTTTACATTCTTGCCCTCCTCTCCTACATTCTCACCCTGCCTCTCTCTGCTCCAGCCACATGGGGAGAGTTGGGGACTCTGCAATTGTTCCTGCTGCCAGGAATGCTCTTTCTCCAGAACCTTGCATGGCTGGGTCCTTCTCAGCGCTGAGGACTCCCCAGATTACCCTGGGTCTGGGAGCCCTGCCCTCCCAGTCACTCTGCTCCTGTCTCCTTTGTTTTCCTCCTCGAATTTAATCACCATTTGAAATTAAAGTATTTGTTATTTTTTGGTTCTTATTTATCGTCTGTCTCCCCCGCTAGAATATCAGTGCTGTTTTGCTTACTGAGTTATATTTAGTGCCTAGTGTTTGGCACACAGTAGGTACTCAGTAAGTGCTGGGTGATAAAGAAATGCATGCTGACTTCTCAGAGAGGCAGCTTGGAGGGAAGTGCTGTGAGGTGGGGGCAGGTAGGTAGCCTGCAGAACAATCTGGACAAGGTAGCTTGGGGGAAGGACTTCCCGGCTCTGGCCAGAGGGAGAAGGCACATTTGCTTCTCAACACCTCAGCTCTTCTGATGCCTCTTCTCCGGGAATCTCCAACAGCATGGTGTGACTGCAGAAGACCCCATCCCTGCAGACCCTCTTCTCCCCCACGTGCTCCTCTGAGACCTGGCCTTATGGGGACAAGCAGAGAAATGTGCACTGGGCATGGAGTCACATCTGGATTCCAGCCTCAGCTCTGCCCCTTCCTAGCCAGGTGACTTCCAAGAATCCCTTAATAGTTTGACCTCCGTTCCTTATCTCTAAAGGGAAAGAATTCCTACTTTCTTGAGCTGTTGTAAGAATCTTAAGATCACTCCCTCCCCAGCCTGCCACTCACCTGGTGGGAGCTCAAAAAGACTGAAGTGGTGGTTGGAGACCAGTCTGCCAGCCTTCCCGAGGAGAGGGGCCCTGTCACCCGACACCCACCTGGGTGCAGCCCCCTTCTGGGTCCCCACCTTCCACCTTCCGGTCCTGTCTGTCCAGTCCCGCCCAACACACCCCAGGGACTCCACTCATCTGCAAAGAATTTCCCTCCAAGCTCAGAACTGGGACAGGTGGAGCCAGTTCTGATTACCCCAGCCGGCCACCAACACTCCCCCCCACCCTCACCCCCCAGCCATCCTCTTTTTCCCAGCCCAGGACCAAACTTTGCCCAACTGTCGCCACACTCTATAATGCCACTGCAGTCTCCCCCCACTCCCCTCACCCACTTTCCTTTCATCCGGGGCAGCTTGGGAGCTTGCGGACGTGGGAGGGGGGTGTCTCAGAACCTTCCAAGCCCCCTAGAGCCCCCACCTCGCCCAGAATCGAGGGGCGAGAGGGCACTGGGGGTGTTGGGGGAGACCCTTCCACCACCTCCCTTCCTTCGCCCCCCCCCCCCCTCAGCCGTCCCCGCCGCTGGGGGTCGCCCGGGAGCGCTCGAGTCCCGCCACCCCACCCGCACACTCACCGGGAGCCCGCGTCCGGGAGCCCCGCGCGGCGGCGGAGGGGCGGGAGCCGGGCTCTGCAGTGGAGGCCAGGCGCGCGGCGGCGGCGGGCTCAGCCAGGGGGGGCGGCGCGGGGGAGGGAGGGCCGGGGAGGAGCCTGGGAGCCGGCTCGGCCGCAAGGGGTCCGCGTCTAGTCCCGCTGCCACCCGCTGCCGGGGCGGCCTTCCGAGGGGCTCGTCGCTGCTCCGAGCCTCGGTTTCTTCGTGTGGGAAATGGGGGCATCGGTGGCCATGGGCAGGGCTGTTGCAAAGGCTCCAATGAGATCAGGGGCGGGAGGCACTCTAAACTGTTAAGTGCCGTGACCCGGGAAAGCCTGCAATCATGACTCGCCCACACGCGTTGCCACGGCGACTGTGCCCGCGCCCTGCGGGTCTCTGTTCCTGCCCGGCGCCCGGCCGGGACCCTGCTTGGGAGCACTCTGGGGGGTCTGCCCTCTTGGCACGATGAGCCTCCACGGCGGTGCCTGGCTCAGGCTCTGTGGCCTCCAAGGTGGGGAGCAGACTCTGCGTCGACATTGGAAAGGACACAGCGAGTCCTGTGCCTGGAAAGGAGATGGGGGGATCCTTTGTCCAGGGGTGAGGGCAGAGGTGGTCGCCTGGAGTTAGGACAAGGGGCGGATTCTGTGCGAGGGGGTCGGATGTTGGGGCGAGAGCGCCCTTGCCCTAGAGACTGCGGAAGGAGGCGGGCCTGCAGCTGGGCTGGGCTCTGGGGACAAAGAGGCTTTGTCTTATTTATTAGTGTGCTGTGACAAGGAGCCTTCCCAGCCTTGTTGGAGAAACCCCAGCGTTTCTGGCCTCCCTGGGAGCCCTGGGGTCTTAGTCACCTTGGGGCTGAGCCCTCGCTGTCTCCATAGAGATGGAGACATAGAGATGGTGTGGTTAACACAAGGGTGACTGTACATGGGATTTCCCCAGGACTGTACGGGTTTGCCACCTGTGGTCCAGTGTAATTCGCATCCTCCCCTTACTCTCAAGAGTGCCCCCAAACCTGGGAAGATCCATTACACGGTCACCCTACCGACTACTCATTTTGATAGAGACTAACCCTGCATTGCGTGTTCAGAGACAACTTTGCGCCAGACATGGCTGGCAGGCTTTATTTCATCCTCACAGTGGGGAGGAAGGTGTGACCCTTCCCACTGAGGTACAGAGAGGTTAGGTGACTTACCCAGGGTCATACAGATGCTAAGCAGCAGAGCCAGCTCTGGAGGTCTCAGCCTTGTGGTTTCTGGATGGGGCAAAGCCACAGGGCAGAGGCTGTCTTTTACTCACTGGGTCATGGCCCCTGAACATCACTGTTGAGACCCCATGCCGGGTGGTCTCGGTGCTTCTGTGTATGTGCCAGTGTTGGGGGATGTGTGAACATGAGAGCGTCCTGTGAGGGTCCACGACTCTGCCATCTGCTCCCTGCGGCCTGTTGCTCTCCAGCATCTCAGAGCAAACCTGCTCCTCACTTCCTTCCCTCCTAGTCGCTCTTCAACCCATTTGAACAACGTTTCCATCCCCATGCTGTGTCACAAAGGCAGCCCTGTCAAGGTCACCGCGGATTTCCATGATGCTAAATCCAACAGTCGTGTCTCCATCCCCACCTTCCTGGACCTACAGAAGCACCTGACACAGCGGGTGACCACTGCCTCCTTCTCAGAACGCTTTCTTCCCTGGGTTTCCTTGACACCACACTCCCAGTTTTCTTGCACCTTGGAGGCCACATGCTGGTGGGCATGTCCCAGGCTCTAGCCTCTTCTCTCCCGGGTGAACTCATCCAGTCTGGGGGCTTTCAATACTATCCAGCACTGAGGAGTCCCCACACTTGTGGTGCTACTCCTGACTTCTCCCCGGACCCCAGATTATGTGAACAGGGCTGCCCACATGACCACCAGGTTTCCAGTTACTTGTTTCTCCTTCCTGAGATCAGCTATGCATCTTTGACTATATAGATACTCTCCTTTTGACATTTACCCAATGTGGGTATGCTATGCACATGGTTCTGTGCATAGAACAGCTAAATAGTATGTGTACTATCATGTATTTAATCAGTCACATACTGATGAAACGTAAGGCTGCTTCCAATCATATATTTCCTACTTTCTATTATAAACACCATTGCAATAAATATGCTTGGGCAAACATCATTTAACACATTTTAAAATTAGGTCCATAGGATACATTCCTAGAAGTGGAATTTTTGGGGTAAAGTTGTATGCTCATTTTTAAATTTTTATACATAATGCCAAATCCTCTCCATAGATGTATCAGTTTACGCTGCCACCAGACGTGAGTGCTTGCGTCCCTGTGTTCTTGCTAATGTAGAGCATTATCAAACTGTATGATCTTTGCCAGTGGTATCTCATTATACTTCTATTTTGCATTTCTCTTATTATGATTGAGGATGAGCATCATTTGATATACTTAACATCCATTTTGTTTGTTTTTCTGTGAACTGTCCTTTGCCTTTGCCCATTTTTCTTTTTTTTTTTTTTAATGTTTATTTATTTTGAGAGAGAGAGGGCGGAGGGGGGCGGGGAGAGAATCCCAAGCTGGCTGACACTGTCAGCGCACAGCCCAATGTGGGGCTTGATCTCATGAACTGGGAGATCATGACCTGAGCCAAAATCAAGAGTCAGATGGTTAGCCAACTGAACCACCCAGGTGCTCCTGCCTTTGCCCTTTTTCTAGTGGATGGTTGCCTTTTAAATTATTGATTTCTTAGGGGCTCTTTATATATTAAAGCAATAAGCCCTCTGTCTATGATACAAATAAAAAAGATACCATCCCTGGTTACACACTTGTATTTTTGACTTTGAATATGGAATTTTTACCATACAGAATTAAAATACTTTTTATGCAGTCACATGTATCCATCTTATCTTTTTGGTTTCTGGGTTTGGTCATAATTAGAAATGCCTTCCCTACTCTGGGAACTGAAAAAGTTTTCCTCCCATGGTTTCTCCTAGCTAAGGTAATGCTTTCATCATGTAAATCAGATGCCACTCACCTATGAAAACCTCGCAGTGACTTACCATTACTTTTATACTAACACCCACTCTCCTGACATTGGACTACAAAGCACCAAACGACCTGGTCCTGCTTTGTCTCCTATCCCACATCTCCTTGGTCACTCTTCTCCAGTCACCCCGGCTTTCATTCTGCTCCACAAACACACCACAGTCAGTCCAGCCTCCTGGCCTTTGCATGGACGCCTGGCCCTCTGCCCGGACTGCTTTTCACTCATCACCTTCTGAAAGAGGTATTCCCTGGGCACCCCATCTGAAGTCACCTCATCCACTTCCTCGGCAGTGTCGCTTCAGAACGTTCCCTGACGTTCTAAGAGGGCAGTGGGCTTGCCCGTAGCACTCCTGCTGCTTCTCCAGAGTGCAGACACTCAGTTGTTGTTTGCAAAGTAAATGCTGGGTGCACATAAAGTTATGTGTGGGGACTGTCTGGTAAGTGCCGTTGGGTAGCTGTGTGTTAAGCGGGGGTGTGTGGGGAATATGGGTGGTGTGGTTGTGAACGGGTATGATTGCAGAGGTGGCTGGGAGGCTTTTGTGAGGTAGTGTGCATGCGTGGTTGTCTGTGAGGTGGTGGCGTGTGGCAGGGTCTTTGTGTGTGGTCAGGTTATTCTGCTCTGGTGACCAGGTGATTTTACTGCCGAGCTCCTTATCATTCGGACCTTGCCAGATGCTGCCCCCTCCCTCCTGACATCAGGCAGTGTCTCCAACAACCGGCCTCTGCTTTTTCTGGAGGGATCTGGACAAGTCCCCATTCCAGAAAGAGGCTGTGAGGCCCTGTCGTCCCACTTCCAAGTCCTGCTCCCTGAGCAGGGGAATGTGTGGGAGGCCATGTAGGCCAGCCCCCTGCCTCAGGGCAAGACGGTGTTGTAGCAGGGCTTGGAAGCTGCCCCAGCCACCCACACTCCCTTCAGGGTCTACACCTGTTCTCTGGGGGTGGCGGGCCCTAAGCCTGGCACCGTACTTCTGGCCCAGGCCTTGGCAGGGGCTGGTTTTGTTCCAGGCCTCCCCCAGTGTCTGAAACTCTGCCCAGGCCTCAGGTAGGGGCTTCCCTCTCTGGCTGAGGGTTTCCTTGCATTTGTGTATGTGCGGCAGGGGCTCTTTCTTCCCTCGAGCAGAGTGGGGCAGGCAGAACCAGCTGGGAAGCAGCTCAGGTGGAAGAATGGGGGCTTTCCAGCCGTGCTGCAGCATGCCTGGGGCTGTGGGTAGGAAGGAAGAGATGTCCCGGGATCCAGGCTAGAATACTGCTTTCCTTCCAAGACACTGGGACTTACTTGGAACTTCTGCCCACGCAGCTTTTATCGTCAAATAGAGGTAACGCCTGGCTTTTCTGAGTTGCCGGCAAGCTTCAAGATTCCACATGTGTCCTGAATCCCACCCCTTCTCACCCGCCCCGGACCTCCCTCCTTTCTTTCTCCTCCATCTTCTCCCTTCTGCTCTTTACTGGATCTTTCCCTTTACAATAAA